TTGCAATCCGCCGCAAAAGGAATCAACTTGTAATCCGCCACAAAATGAGTCAAGTTGAGTCACGTTGCAATCCGCCACAGAGAGAATCTGTTTGGAATCGGCCACAAAGGGAATTCGTGTTGTAATCCGCAAACAGGAATCCTTGTGTAATCCGTCACAACATGGAGTGTAACTTCTGCGTTGCCGCTTCAACAAAAACTTCAGTTGAACGCCGCCGCGGCGAACTCAAGTGAACCCTCCCGCGCACCCAAGCAACATACAACGCTACATTCTTAGCAGGAGAGCTGTTGACTTTCGGTTGCGTCGCCGATCCTAGTGTAGTTCTCCTGTAGCTCCCTGGCGGCCGTGCGTACTCATACGGCAGCGCTTTGTAACGCCCAGTCGCCTTCGTTTGCTTTCTGGGAGTGTTCAGTAAAGCCAGATCGCTCTTCGGTCGCGTTTCGGTCGCCCTTCGGTAGCCTTTGGGTTGCCGTGGGGCCTCCAATGGGCCCCAGGAGACTCCAAGGCTTCCCAAAACTCCCAAACAAGCATCCATGAAGCTCTTGACCCACATCTCAGGCACGGTGGCAGGATGGGCCGAATGCCACTAGATGGTTTGTTCGGCTTCCCCCTCTTCCTCCTCTTCTTCTCCTCGTTCCTTCTCCCTTTTCCTCCTCCTTGTTATCCCTCTCCTCCTCGTCCTCCTCTCCGCGGCAGCCCCGTGACAGGAAGTCATGTGTGTATGTGTGAGTGTGTTTGTAAGTGTGCGTGTGTGTGTTTGTGTGTCTGTGTGCTTGTGTCTGTGTGTATATGTGTGTGTATGTCGGTCTGTGTGCGATTGTGCGTGCGTGCCACATGTACATGTGTGTATGCATGCATTCGCGCATGGATGCATGTATGTATGTATGCATGCATGTATGTATGTATGTAAGTATGTAGGCATACATGTAAATACGTGTGCAGTCATACATGTAGGTATGTATGTATATGTGCATGTATGCATGTATGTATGTACATGTAAATGTGTATGTATGCATGCATGTGCGTATACATGTATGTATGTATGCATGTGTATAGTTATGTGGTTGTATGTGTATGCATGTGTATGCATGTGTATGCATGTGTATGCGTGTGTATGTATGTGTATGTATGTGTATGTATGGTTGTCTGCATGCCTGTCTGTATGTGTGTATGTATGCATGTATGCATGCATGTAGGTATGTATGGTTGTTTGTATGCATACATGCATGCATGTATGCATGTATGTGTGTATGCATGCGTGCATGCATGCATGCATGTATGTATGTGTGTACGTACGTACGTTTGTGCGTATGTACATACGTATGTATGTATGTCTGTCTGTCTGTCTGTCTGTCTGTCTGTCTGTCTGTCTGTCTGTCTGTCTGTCTGTATGTATGTATGTATGTATGTATGTATGTATGTATGTACATGTGTGTATGTATATCTATGCGTGTAAATGCATATATGGAGGGAGAATGCGAGAGAGAGAGAGCGGTATGTGTGTGTGTGTGTGTCTGTGTGTGTGTGTCTGTGTTGATGTGTGTGTGTGTGTGTCTGTGTATGTCTGCGTGTGTCTGTGCGCTGCTGTCGGCGCTACGGGTCCAGCCTGCAGGCTCGTGAGGGGGGTTCGAGCGAGCCTCCTCCCTCCTCGTCCTCCCCGTCGTCCTCTCCTCCTCGCTGTTCCCTCTTGCTCCCTCTATTCTCCCCCCCATCCATCCCCTTCCCCCATCATCCCCCTCACTCCTCCGACGTCCCTGATACTGCTCCTCCTCCCCCCCTTCCCCTCCCTCCTTTCTCCCGCCTCGTCCCTCGGCTCCCTTATTCGCCTCGCTTCTTCTTCTCTTTCCTCTCTCCCTCTCCTTTCCCTGCCTCTTCCTCCTCGTTCCTCCTCCCCCATCCATTTTCCTTATCACTCCTAATCTACAACTCCCTGCCGCACCCCCACACGTGTCGGTGGGGCAGGCCAGGCGGTTCGCTGAAGAACGCCTCACCATTTATGATCGCCCAGTTTGAAAAGTGCAGCAGTTTCACGTGTGCAAGTCGGTTCTCGCCGTAGCCTTAGCGCCTCGCACATTCATGCCAAAAGTTTGCGCGGATGGAGAGCGGGACGTTTTCGAGATGTGGTTCTCGCCGTAGCGCCGCGCACATTCGTATTTGTAACAGTTTCACAAATGGTGGGAGGGCCGATTTCAACATGTGGACCTCGCCTTAACGCCGCACGCATTCGTTTTGAACGGTTGCTGCAGCGTCGCGGATGGAGGGCGGGATCTTTTCAAAATGTGGCTCTCGCCCTAGCGCCGCGCATATTCGTTTGAACAGTTTGCAAGAGCTTGACAGATGTATGGCGGGGCGTTTTCAAAATGTGGCCTTCGCTCTAGCGCCGCGCACAGTCGTCTTATAAGCTTACAACACTTTTGAAGGATTTTGATGGTTGACGTCCCAGGAATGGCGGTCCGGCACGAATTCTTCATTGTCAGGGCGCGACACTCACATTGATTCGTGTTGTTTCAGTCCCAGGAAAATTGTTACGGGACATGTTAGTATTGCTAGGACGCAACAGTCACGTGGTTTTGCGGCGCTGAAGTTCCATCCCATGAACGGTGTTTTGGCACGATTGGGGATTCTCAGACGTTTGTCCTTCAATGGGATAATTGCTGCAATGTGAGTAAATTCTTGTAGGGGCCTATGAAGGGGCAACTTGGAGGGAGGGTTTATTGCAGCATCGGTGTTGCGTGTTGGGTTTACATTGGTCCTCCTCCTCCTCCTCCCCCTCATCCTCAGTTCCTTTTCCTTATAGATAACTCCTCCCTGTCGCACCCCGAGGCCGGTCGAAAGGGCGGGCCGGGCGTTTCGTTTGGAATTTCTTCACCATGCATGACCTTAATGCTCAAAAGTTGACAACAGCTTCACAGATGGAGGGCGGGTCGCTTCCAAATGTGACTCTCGCCTTAGCGCCGCGCGCATTCGTTATCAAGATTTGCCAGAGCTTCACAGATTGAGGGCGGGTGGTTTTCAAAATGTGGATCTCGCCGTAGCGCCGCGCGCATTCGTTTCAACAAAAATTGCGAGAACTCCATGGATTGAGGGCGGGTGGTTTTCAAAATGTGGTTCTCGCCTTAGCGCCGCGCATTTTTTGTACAAGTTGCAAGAGTTTCACGGATTGGAGCCTGTTTTTTTATTGTTTGGGCCATAACGCGCGTTATGATTCCCCCGCTCCCCCTCCCCCTATAACGTAACGCTCTCGCCCCCAGTGCGCCCCCAGCATTGCCGCCGTGCGCACAGGGATCCGCATAGGAGCCCGAATAGGGATCCGCATAGGCATCCGCACAGAAATCCGCATAAGGATCCGCATAGGGATCCGCTTTGGGATCCCCCGGGATCCGTATAGGGTATAGGGATCCGCATAGGGGCCTGCATGTGGATCCGCAGAGGGATCCACGACGACGACCGACAACAAAGAGTGAGCGACGATGACGACGACGACGACGACCAGCGACGACGACGACAACGACGACGACGACGATGACGACGAGGATGGAGGAGGGAGGTAAGGAGCATACCTCTTAAACGCCACGTAGAGGCAACGACGCCTTCGCAGGCATGTGCTCGACACAACTCCTCGTCGCTCGTCGTTGTCGGTCGTTGTCGTCGTCCTCGTCGTCATCATCGTCGCTCGTTCTCGCTCGTCCTCGCTCGTCGTCGTCATCGTCGTCGCTCCTCGTCGTCGTCGTCGTCATTGTCGTCGTCGTCGTCGTCATCGTCGTTGCTCGTTGTCGTCGTCGTCGCTCGTCGGCGTCGGCGTCGGCGTCGTCGTCATCTTCGTCGTCGTCGTTGTCGTCCGTCGTCATGACTCGAAGTCGCGCGTCGTTGTCAAACGCCTTCGAATGCTTTCGAGGTCCTCTGGAGGCCTTCGGATGACCGCCAGACGGCCGCTGAAGGCTTCCAGAGGCCTCAGGAGGCCTCAGGAGGCTTCGGAAAACCTCTGGAGACTTTTGGAGGCGTCGTTCGTATGGTCGCCGTCGTCGTCATCGTTGTCGTCGTCGCTCGTCGTCGTCGTCGTCGTCGTCGCCGTCGTCGTCATCGTCATCATCGTCGTCGTCGTCGTTGTCGTCGTCGTCGTCGTCGCGTGTCGTCGTTGTCGTCGTCGTCGTCGTCGCTCGTGGTCGCTCGTCGTCGTCGTCGTGGTCGCTCGTCGTCGTCGTCGTCGTCGTCGTCCTCGTCGTCGTCGTCGTCGTCGTCGTGGTCGCTCGTCGTCCTCGTCGCGCGTCGCTTGTCGCGTTTCGTCGTCGTGCGCGCGGACGCTGTGGTGGCGCCAGGACCCCCTAGAAGGCTTGTTATTTCCGAAAATGAAGAAACACGTTCTTGAGGGCAGGTGATTTCCAGAATGTGGCTCTCGCCTTAGCGCCGCGAACACTAGCTGTAAATATGTGCAAGCGTTTCATTGCTTCTCATGGTTAACGCACCAGAAATCACGTCTTGGGGCGATTCAGGATTGTCAGGGCGCACCACTTACATTGATTCGATGTGTTCAAGTCCCAGGAATGGTGTTCTGACACGGTTGAGGATCGCCAAGCCGTAACAGTCAGTAACTCGTGGCGTTGAAGTCCTGAGAATGGTATTTTGGCACGCGTCAAGATGTTCACACGGTGGTCCCCCAACGGGGCAAGTCCATCAGTGAAATGACCCCTTGCAGGGGCCTGCGGAGGGGGGCCTGGAGGGAGGAGTTTTGGGTTTGCGCTGGTCCTTCTCCTCCTCTTCCTCCTCCCTCTTCCTCCTCATCCTCTCTTCCTCCTCCTCCTCCTCCCTCCTCCCCCTCCTCCTCCTCCTCCTCCTCCTCCTCCCCCTCCTCCTCCCCCTCCTTCTCCTCCTCCTCCTCCTCCTCCTTCTCCTCCCTCGTCCTACCTGCTCCCCGCTCCTCCTGCCACTCCACGTGCCAGTCTTGCGCTCCGCTGCCGCCGTGGTGTCACCCCCCCCTTCTCGGAGGGGGGGGGGCGAGCGGACTCGGCTGCGGCGAGTCGTTCGGGCAGGACCCGCGGGGGAGGCGGGGAGGCAGTTATTCGAGGATCGATGTATTGGAGATGGTTTTTAGAAGGGCGAGGCTCGCGAGTCGAGGGGTTTGTTGTCGTGGAGATGTGCTTGGCCTCTTCCTGGCCTCCTCGTCTCCACGGCTGGATCCGCCTAGAAGTCCTGATCAGAGCGCACCTCGAGGTGGGCCCAGTGGCCGATGTTGGCATCCTGCAGGCGGTCCAGGCGGCCGCTTTCTTCGCCCCATTTTGTAACCTACAGAGGTCGGTCCCGTGCCCCGGGGCCAACAGAAAACGTCGGGTGCCCTAAATCGGTGTGGTCACCACACCCTGTGGTGAGTCAGTGGGGATTCGGGGTGACCGCACGGTGTTGGGACACGGGTCGCTCGCCGAGGACGTCTCGGGTGATTGTGGCCTCCAGGGTCCCACAACCATGCGGTGGCGGACTGTGCGGTGAGTTCGTTGTGTATTCTGAGGCCATCGCACGGTCTGTCATCACACCGAGTTGGGACCCCCCCAAAAGTTCAGCGGCACCGCAGTGGGTGTTCACCAACGGGCACCTTGAAAGCCCGCCGAAAGTTGCCGCTTTGGGGCCACATTCGGGCACTGCGGCATTGCCCGCACCTGCAAGGGTCGGGCTCTGCGGGTCGCTGACCAAAGTGCTCGTCAATGGCGTCAGGGGGGCGCTGGAAGGGTGTCCGCTGTTCGGCCGGGTGGGCCGCGTGGGACAGTCGGCCCAGATTAGGAGGTCGACCCTGCCAAGTCAAGGGTACCCTTGTGTACCGTGTCTCGCGACCCATGCCTCCTACATTCCTGTGGCCGTGTGCCCCCCGGAAAGGGTCTTTTGTCCTCTCGCGTGTCCTCTCCAATCGAGTCCGACTGCAGTCGCTTGCGTGCAGTCGGTCCGGTTCAGTCGGTCGGTTCTGCCGTTGGCCAACGTCGCCGCTGCAGGCTTCGGGGCTGCTCGCGGCCGCTGCTCGGCCTCGGTCGGCCTCGGCCTCTTGGTCGCTTCGGTCGGCTTTCGGGCGTGCCGCCGCCGTGGACGGCCTTGGAGAGAGAGAGGGCGGCGGGTGCGAGCTCGGGCTGCTCTGTTGGCGGTGTCCTGGTCGGCTGGGGTGGAAGAGTGCGGGGAGTGGGCCGGCTTCTCCCAGGGGAGGGCCAGCCGCGTGAGGGGGGTTCCTCTTTTCCTCCTCCTCCTCCTCGTCCTCCTCCTCCTCCTCCTTCTCCTCTTCGCTCCTCCTCCTCCTCCTCCTGTGTTTGGGCGTCATGGAGGCACGTCGTTCGGTGCTCACGGCGAGACGCTCGCCATTTGCGGCGAGAATGTGGGCTGTCTGATCGCACTGCGGAGACCGCCCCTCATCTGCTCCCTGATAAACTCCTCCTCCTGATCCTCTTCCTCCTCCTCATCCTCCTCGTCCTTCTCCTCGTCAGCACGTAGAGTTGTACAGCAAGGTTGCTATGCTGAAGTTCGGTACGACGCAGCGGTGTATGGCCTGAGTCCTTCGGCAGTGCAGGCATGGCGCAGGGCAATGGGTGGCGCAGTCACCGGCTCGAGACGTGGACGCTGTCTCGACACTCTGCCGCAGCTGGAGCTGGGCGACCAAGACCCAGCCGCCTCGCAGGTTTTTTTTAAGGTGCTCGGCCGCCGGATGGCGCTACTCTCTGCCGGCGCCCGGGCTCGTAGCTTCGCTGCTCGAGATTGGGCAGCTCACGTCTCATCAGGAGGGGAAAAAACACACAGACACAATTATTCGTCGACTCCCAGAAAATATGGGAAAATATGGGAAGTGGGGGGGAAGACAGAAACCCAGAAAATATGGGAAAATATGGGGAATCTTTTTATTTGTGTATATTTATTTGTGTGTTTGTGGGCCCCTTCAGTCTCACAGGCCAGAGAGAACCCCAAGCAACGTTGGCGTAAAGTTTTGGGGCCCGCAAGGGCCATCGTGAACGCCCTGCTGGACATCAACTGGGATCCCGTGGGACCTTGGCATTGGGTGGCTGATTTGGGCAATGTCTGCCAGGGCTACACCAGAGATCCTTGAAGCGGGACCTCTAGACCTAAATGACATACGACAAGACCCCGCCGAAACCGTACGACGAGTATGGAAGCGAGCAGCCAAGCATTACTAAAGCGATGATGTTACGAAAGGAGTTGGTCTAACGGACGTACGACAGCAGCTACGACTAGCTAAAGACCGAGACAAACATACTTGGGCCAGAGCTCTAGTCAACGTGTGCTGTTGAGGCCAATGTGCCAAGGAAAGAATTCAGGACGCCATCAAGCCCCCAGATGATTCAATTATTTGCGACCGCTGTGATAGTGGTCAACCAGAGTTTACTTTTCATCGCATCTAGGAATGCTCAGCGAATGCATGCCTCTCCTCGGTCACCAGCACCGAGGCGTGGGCGCACAGAGCTCGCACTCAGGTGGGTTCTCAACCGTCGGTGTGGCTGCGAGGTCTTACTCCCTCGTCGTGGACACAAGCTTCCGCACCGCCCGACGAGCCTGACATTTTCGTGCACACACACACGGCCTCTTCCGTGCCGACGCCGAGATTATCGTCGGCGCAGGTGGTGTTTCTGGGGGAAAGTATTCTTCCGGATTCTTCCAGAATTCGCCCAGCTTCTTCCGAATTCTCCCAGACGCCATCATGTTCTCGCAGATGTTTGCAGATCGTCCGGCAAGCGCCCAAGCGTCAAGCGCCGGCAAGATTTTAGACGAGTCTCCGAGGGTTTCGATCCAGGTAACCCGTCTCCTGATTTGGCCACGCCGAGGCTTTCAACTGGAGCCGCATGGGGAGCCCAAGCCATAAAAACCACGGCGAAATGATCGCTTTCTCGAGGTTCTTGGAGGAGACCCCGTCGGGCCGACCGCTCGTCTTCGTCACGCACTCGTCGTACGTCCCAAAGAAAACGTCGCCAAGGTCTTGTTGGATGTCATTCCTGCCGGGCATAGGAATGAATGGCGTAGACTCCAGTGGCTGCTTCGAGAGAAGCCGACCGTCATCCTAGAATTCGAGTCGCACATGATTCCCGAGCAGGCCGCCGATAAAAGAGAGCTATTGTTTGCTTGGGTAGGGAACAGGTACTTTGATGAGGACAGGTCCAGGACTTCGAACGTTCTCACACTCAAAGTTCTTGGTGGGGCTGTCAGCCCCGCTGCATTACAAAAACTGGCCGCAGTACGACTTTGAGTGCGCCCGGTGTTGCGCGTCGGGCCGTCCTCCATCAAGCAATATGTTCCTTTGCCATCATCATTACCATGGCTACGATACGTGCATATTGCCCCCCATGAGTCCATGCAAACTTGAGCCGCCGGCCTGGCCAGTCTGTCGAGCAGTTTTCTTGGTGAGCTGTGTTGGATGACTCTTCCCATGCTTCCAGGTTCGAACCTGCGGTCGGCTGCTCCTGCAGTGCAACTTGTCGTCGGTGGGGAACAAGCTGGCAGACGAGGTGGCCGAGCAGACGGCCAATCACATTCAGTTGCAGGTGGGGGAGGCAGAGGCGATTCTAACTTCTGAGACTCTGACGCGCGCCGTGGGAATTCGGGCTTGTGAAGTTTGTCCCTCGAGGTTTTCGGAGGTCCCTGGGGGTGATCCCATACAGCGGGCTCGAGCGAGAGAGAGAGCCAGAGCCAAGAAGCCAGCGGCCCCTAGTCCTCCTCCTCCTCCTCCTCCTCCTTGAGCCTTCAACCTTCGCCCCAAGCTGGCTAAGCAGCTGCGTGAAAATGCGCACAACATGATACCTGCAGGCGAAGGTTCCGATTGTCGTTTGTTTTGTATCACCTGTTGTTGAGTGATATCGGTCAATTCGCACGGTAACATCCCGTCTCACGAGTTGCTTGCTTCCCCTTGCTTGGCTTCTTCAATGCCCCGAGCGGGGCACGAGAGGGCCAAGCAGTTGCATAACGCTTATATAGGTGCGAGGTTTGTTGACCCATCACATGGTATGGTGCTGCTTGCTCAGGGTAATCAACATATGCCTGGCGTGCGGCTGTCATGCCACGCGTAGTGCGCAGGGGTAATGCTAGACCTGGGCAAATTCTAGAGAGGGGAGGTATCGTGTCCTCCCCAGCCTCTATTGCTTGAAGGGCAGGCTTCATCCCCTCCTTTTTGAAACAGACCAGCAGTCAACTGCATTGCCCCCTCCCTCCCCCTCCTCTTCCTCCTATGTTTGGCGTCGTGGAGGCACGCCGTTCGGTGCCAACGGCGATTCGCTTGCCACCTGCGGCGAGGATGTTGGCTGTCTGACTGCACAGCGGAGACCACCCCATCGTCTGCTCCTTGATAAGCTCCTCCTCCTTTTCCTCCTCCTCCTCATCATCATCATCAGCAGCAGCAGCATCAACATCATCGCCATCAGCACCATCATCATCTTCATCATCATCGCCATGATTCGCATCATCATCCTCATCATCATCTTCATCATTGTCCTCGTCCTCATCCCCATCTTTGTCCTCATTATCATTGTCATCCCCATCCTCGTCCTCACTCTCATCCTCTCCCTCATCCATCATCTGTCCTTCTCCTCCTCCTCCTCCTCCTCCTCCTCCTCCTCCTCCCTCTAGCTCGTGTTTTCGTGGGACGCGCCTGTCCCGTGGCGCACCATACCCAGAATGCCATAATCTTCCTCCTCCTCCTCCTTCTCCTTCTCCTCGTCCTCGTCCTCGTCCTCGTCCTTTTCCTCCTCTTCCTTTTTCCTCCTCCGCATCCTTCGCCTCCTCCTCTTCCTCCTCCACCCCCCTCTCCTCCTCCTCCTCCTCCTCCTCCTCATCCTCCTCCTTCTCTCCCTCTTCCCTTCTCAGTCCTCATCTTCCTTTCTCACGCAGCGCTCCGAAAAGATCCCACTGACGAAGCACCTGTAGCAGGGCCCGAAAAAAGCTCTCAACGCTGCTCCGGCTTAGCCCATTCTGAAAGGAGAGAGGCAACGAGAGGGAGGGCCCGCTCCCACCTTTGACGACCACAGAGGATGGAGACGGGCAGTGAGGCTGTAGCGCCTCT